TCATCATGAAATATGATATTTCCTTGACAGTCACAATGCACGGAGGGGTTTGAGAAATGGAAGGATGTAGGAGAAGGAAAGTATCAATGAAATTCTTCTGTGATTGTTTTGTTTCTATGTGTATAAATAGCCTATTATTAAAAAAAAAAACAGTAATTCATAATCATAGGCCTACCAGTTCACCATTGCCATATCATATTTCACACTTGTTTCACAACCAGTCTTACAAGGCCATTATAAAGCAAAAAAAAAAAAAACGTTCTTCAAACTGACTTATTCATAAAATAGCACCGAAGCACCCATAATATCCTGTTCGTCGCTGTTGACTCGCCTTGCTTTGCTTTTGAAGTATCTCTACTGTACTTGCCAAATAGTGCTCCCTATATTCTCTATTGCGCATGACTGTATGGCTGAATATGAAGTAGAAGCCTCCTGTTTTTCTCCGAGCTAGAGTCCAACCCCCCCGAATCAACCTCTGAAAAACAAAAACGCGGAGCCATTAAATGTAAAATTGGGGCAGGTAAGATGTTAAAACATATATTTATAACGGTCAATTTCTTGTTATACGGTGGAATCGCTCAGCGGAGAGGTGTACAAATGTATTTTTAGCCCACGGAAGCAAGCGGGGGACTGCAGATGGGGCTTTGGAACCGTTTCCGCACGCTCGGGACACGACTAGGCCCACTGACCCACATTCGAGAGAGAGAGAGAGAGAGCTGTGTGTGTGTGTGTGTGTGTGTGTGTGTGTGTGTGTGTGTGTGTGTGTGTGTGTGTGTGTGTTTGTGAGAGTGTGTGGGCGAGCGAGCGTGTGAATGTGTGCTACTGTATGTGTGTGTGTGCGTCTGCCGCGAAATGTTTTTTGCATCGCTATCTCCTCGCTATCTAATCGATGTTCCAGTTTTCGAGCAAATTGTAACAATTTCGAACGTAGATCGCTACATTGTTGAAGATGAGCTGCTATGCTAGCTTTGCTACATTGTGTCAATGTCAATAGTTGCGTGACAGCTTGGCTGGACTCGAGCACCCGCCAGCTTTTGATATCTGTCAGCTATGTCGCTCTTGGTGATTGATTGAGCCTTCGTAGAATTGCATTCAACATTTTGGAAGTCAGTTGGAATGGATTCCCGTCGTCGCAATTCTAAGAAAATGGTCCGGTATGTTACCTGGTCAGTTTTTTTCTGCAGCTATGGTTGGGAGGATATCTTTTTTTCGGTTGTATAACGCGAACACCTGTGGCTTTTTTTTTGTTGCTATCCAACATCCACCGCGCGTAGCCGTTTCTGGGGCTTATACTAGCGAATTACACGTCATTTATAACGATCTTTGCAGATGTATTATTGGATGCATCATTGCCCAGTGTATGAATCACTAAATTGTCTGTCACTCCCAAACGGAAGACGACTGCATTGGTATCCATTTAATTTTTAAATGTATCAACTTAAATGACCCTGTATATGTTAAGGAACACCTAACTTTACAAGACACTACTGCTCATTTCGACATCAGCAGCAATGACAAATTGCATGGGTACATCACGAGGTTCGGGTAAGATCTTTCAGATACAAAAGCCCATCTGACTGGAATAATGTACCTATAGAAATCAGGGCATTAAAATCACAGTAAATTTAAGAATGTCCTTTAAGAACAAATTCTTATTTACAATGACGGCCTACACCGGACGACGCTGGGCCAATTGTGCGCCGCCCTATGGGACTCCCAATCACGGACGGTTGTGACACATTACGTTTTAGTCATTTAGCAGAGCGATTTACAGGAGCAATTAGGGCACATCGACAGATTGTTCACCTAGTCGGCTCGGGGATTTGAACCAGCGACCTTTCGGTTACTGGCACAACACTCTTACCCACTAAGCTACCTGCCGCCCTGGAATCGAACCAGGGGGTCTGTAGTGACGCCTCAAGCACTGAGAAGCAGTGCCTTAGACCGCTGCCCTTAAGAACCAAACTGTTTGTGTTCTTAGCTAATAGAAACATCACCATGTGAAAATATTTGTAAATATGTATATATTATAGGTAGTGTGAATTATAGGTAGGGTGAATTGTATACTGAAGAGAAATATAAACGCAACATGAAACAATTTCAGAGATTTTACTGAGTTACAGTTCATATAAGGAAACCAGTCAATTGAAATAAATAAATTAGGCCCTAATCTATGGATTTCACCACTGGGAATACAGATATGCATCTGTTGGTCACAGATACCTTAAAGACTTGATCAGAAAACCAGTCAGTATCTGGTGTGACCTCCATTTGACTCAACATTTATGTCTGGTGAGTATGCAGTCCATGGAAGAACTGGGACATTTTCAGCTTCCAGGAATTGTGTACAGATCCTTGCGACACGGGGCCGTGCATTATCATGCTGAAACATGAGGTGATGGCGGCGGATGAATGGCACGACAATGGGCCTCAGGATCTCGTCACGGTATCTCTGTGCATTCAAATTGCCATCGATAAAATGTGATTGTGTTCATTGTCCGTAGCTTATGCCGGCCCATACCATAACCCCACCGCCACCATGGGGCACTCTGTTCACAACAGCAAACCTTGGCAAATGAGAAATGCTCACTTACAGGGATGTAAACAAATTAGTTCACAACATTTGAGAGAAATAAGCTTTTTGTGCTTATGGAACATTTCTGGGATCTTTTATTTCAGCTCATGAAACATGGGACCAACACTTCACATGTTGCGTTTATATTTTTGTTCAGTGTAGTATAACGCTATATTACAGACTCTTATTCCAGTGCTAACACCTGATTTTAGTTCATCAAGGGCTGATTTGATTCATATCTGAGTCAGGTGGATAGCCGAGTGCTGCTGGGGTTGCCCATGTCTCTGTAGCAGGAGATTCCGTTTCACCCTAGATACTATGAAATGTCTGATGTATGTTTTTAGCATTATGTGTGCCATTAAATGTGTGCTTGTTTCCTCGGCTAGGGTTCACAAAGCACATTTCTAATAAAATACAAATGTATTTTTTATAAAGCCCGTTTTTCATCAGCTATTGTGACAAAGTGTTTTACAGATACCCAGCCTAAAACCCACATTTTCACATTTAAACAAAAATATGTCTGTCATAAATGTCCAATGTGATCTCCCTGGTAGAATAAAGGGTTCATATTTATAATAACGTTCATGAATAAGCCATTATAAACATGCTTATGATTTGTAATGTTATAATGTTTATAAATGCATGAATGCTTTAAATGCTTGGATGGATTCTAAAGTTTATTATAATGTCCAAGCCAGAACGGCCCAAAGGGCCAGTAGCCTATCTCCTGTTTCTGTAGTGAGACAGCTTGATGTACACTACACCCCCTGGACAGGACACTAGTCTATCTCCTGTTTCTGTAGTGAGACAGCTTGATGTACCAGTACACCCCCTGGACAGGACACTAGTCTTTCTCCTGTTTCTGTAGTGAGACAGCTTGATGTACACTACACCCCCTGGACAGGACACTAGTCTTTCTCCTGTTTCTGTAGTGAGACAGCTTGATGTACCAGTACACCCCCTGGACAGGACACTAGTCTATCTCCTGTTTCTGTAGTGAGACAGCTTGATGTACACTACACCCCCTGGACAGGACACTAGTCTATCTCCTGTATTCCTGTAGTGAGGACAGCTATGATGACCAGGTACCCCCCCTGGACAGGACCCTAGTCTACTCCCTGTTTCCGTAGTGACAGCTTGATGTACCAGTACAGCCCCCTGGACAGGACAACTAGTCGATCTCACTGTTATTCTGAGTGAGACAGTGGAGACACGCCTTGGATGTCCAGGTACACCCCCTGGACAGGACACGAGTCTATCTCCTGTTTCTGTAGTGAGACAGCGTTGATGTACCAGGGACACCCCATGGACCGAGAAGGCACTATCTACGCTCCTGTTTCCGTAAGTGAGACAGCTTGAATAATACCAGTACACCCCCTGGGACAGGACACTAGTCTATCTCCCGTTTTTCTGGAGGAGACAGCTTGATGTACCAGTACCACACACCTGGACAGGACACGAGTCTACTCCTGTTTCTGTAGTGAGACAGGCTTGATGTACAGTACACCCCCCTGGACAGGGACACACTAGTCTACCATCCTGTTGCTGTAGTGAGACAGCTTGATGTACCAGTCAAACCCCATGGACAGGACACTAGTCTATCTCCTGTTTCTGTAGTGAGACAGCTTGATGTACCAGGGTTTACCCCCTGGACAGGACACTAGTCATCTCTCTGTTTCTGTTAGTGAGGACCAGCTTGATGTACCCAGTTACCACCCATGGACAGGACACTATGTTAATCCCTCCTGTTTCTGTAGTGAGGACAGCTTGATGTACAGTACACACCCCTGGACAGGACACTAGTCTATCTCCTGTTTCTGTAGTGAGACAGCTTTGATGTACCAGTACCACCCCCTGGACAGGACATAGTCTATCTCCTGTTTCTGTAGTGAGACAGCTTTATGTACCAGTACACCCCCTGGACAGGACACTAGTCTATCTCCTGTTTCTGTAGTGAGACAGCTTGATGTACCAGTACACCCCCTGGACAGGACACTAGTCTATCTCCTGTTTCTGTAGTGAGACAGCTTGATGTACCAGTACACCCCCTGGACAGGATGCTAGTCTATTGCAGGGCCAATCCATCCAACTTAATGCTAAGTGCCAAGCAGAGAGGCAACAGGTCCCATTTTTACAGTCTTTGGTTTAACTGGACCGAAACCCAACCTTCCAATCTCAGAAGGCTGGTCTCTGACCACAAGGGAACTGAGTTGGTTGTGATGCTTATAAATCTTTATAAATGTGAAAATAGAGATGTTACTTGTGGTGATTGTATTGCATAGATTAATGTTTGAGGCCTAAATGGTCAGGAATTGTAATATTTATAATATTATGTTTATAACTGTTAAAATAGAGAAGTTAAACGTGACAACTGTATTTGTGTGCTGCAGGGTGAAGTGATGGCCATGTTGGGCCCCATCCAGAGATGATAGCGGTGACCTCGGATTCACCTTTAACCCTGATCCCCACCACAACCCCTGAGAACGAGCTGAAACTGATCACACACAGGCTGCAGTGGGGTGAGTGAGGGAGTGAGTGAGGGAGGGAGGGAGGGAGGGAGGGGAGGGAGGGCGGGAGGGAGGGAGGGAGGGAGAGAGCATTTGATGTGCTTCAATAGGAGTTGTATTGTTTGTTACACTCTTAGAAAAAAGGGTTATTCGGCTGTCCCCATAGGAGAACCCATTTTGGTTCCAGGTAGAACTCTTTTGGGTTCCATGTAGAACCCTCTGTCGTAGCCGGCCGCGACCGGGAGACCCATGGGGCGGCGCACAATTGGCCCAGCGTCGTCCAGGGTAGGGGAGGGAATTTCCGGAAGGGATGTAGCTCAGTTGGTAGAGCATGGCGTTTGCAATGCCAGGGTTGTGGGTTTGTTTCCCACGGGGGGCCACGGGGGGCCAGTATAAAAAAAAAGTACAAAAAATAAATATATATATATATATATATACAGTGGGGAAAAAAGTATTTAGTCAGCCACCAATTGTGCAAGTTCTCCCACTTAAAAAGATGAGAGAGGTCTGTAATTTTCATCATAGGTACACGTCAACTATGACAGACAAATTGAGAATTATTTTTCCAGAAAATCACATTGTAGGATTTTTAATGAATTTATTTGCAAATTATGGTGGAAAATAAGTATTTGGTCAATAACAAAAGTTTCTCAATACTTTGTTATATACCCTTTGTTGGCAATGACACAGGTCAAACGTTTTCTGTAAGTCTTCACAAGGTTTTCACATACTGTTGCTGGTATTTTGGCCCATTCCTCCATGCAGATCTCCTCTAGAGCAGTGATGTTTTGGGGCTGTCGCTGGGCAACACAGACTTTCAACTCCCTCCAAAGATTTTCTATGTGGTTGAGATCTGGAGACTGGCTAGGCCACTCCAGGACCTTGAAATGCTTCTTACGAAGCCACTCCTTCGTTGCCCGGGCGGTGTGTTTGGGATCATTGTCATGCTGAAAGACCCAGCCACGTTTCATCTTCAATGCCCTTGCTGATGGAAGGAGGTTTTCACTCAAAATCTCACGATACATGGCCCCATTCATTCTTTCCTTTACACGGATCAGTCGTCCTGATCCCTTTGCAGAAAAACAGCCCCAAAGCATGATGTTTCCACCCCCATGCTTCACAGTAGGTATGGTGTTCTTTGGATGCAACTCAGCATTCTTTGTCCTCCAAACACGACGAGTTGAGTTTTTACCAAAAAGTTATATTTTGGTTTCATCTGACCATATGACATTCTCCCAATCCTCTTCTGGATCATCCAAATGCACTCTAGCAAACTTCAGACGGGCCTGGACATGTACTGGCTTAAGCAGGGGGACACGTCTGGCACTGCAGGATTTGAGTCCCTGGCGGCGTAGTGTGTTACTGATGGTAGGCTTTGTTACTTTGGTCCCAGCTCTCTGCAGGTCATTCACTAGGTCCCCCCGTGTGGTTCTGGGATTTTTGCTCACCGTTCTTGTGATCATTTTGACCCCACGGGGTGAGATCTTGCGTGGAGCCCCAGATCGAGGGAGATTATCAGTGGTCTTGTATGTCTTCCATTTCCTAATAATTGCTCCCACAGTTGATTTCTTCAAACCAAGCTGCTTACCTATTGCAGATTCAGTCTTCCCAGCCTGGTGCAGGTCTACAATTTTGTTTCTGGTGTCCTTTGACAGCTCTTTGGTCTTGGCCATAGTGGAGTTTGGAGTGTGACTGTTTGAGGTTGTGGACAGGTGTCTTTTATACTGATAACAAGTTCAAACAGGTGCCATTAATACAGGTAACGAGTGGAGGACAGAGGAGCCTCTTAAAGAAGAAGTTACAGGTCTGTGAGAGCCAGAAATCTTGCTTGTTTGTTATTGACCAAATACTTATTTTCCACCATAATTTGCAAATAAATTCATAAAACATCCTACAATGTGATTTTCTGGATTTATTTTTCTCATTTTGTCTGTTATAGTTGACGTGTACCTATGATGAAAATTACAGGCCTCTCTCATCTTTTTAAGTGGGAAAACTTGCACAATTGGTGGCTGACTAAATACTTTCCCCCCCACTGTATAGACAGGTGTGTGCCTTTCCAAATCATGTCCAATAAATTGAATTTACCACAGGTGGACTCCAATGAAGTGATGGATGGATGATGTGGTTATTTACTGTGTGTGTGTAGTGTGTTATGGAAGGATGATGTGGTTATTTACTGTGTGTGTGTAGTGTGTTATGGAAGGATGATGTGGTTATTTACTGTGTGTGTGTAGTGTGTTATGGAGGATGATGTGGTTATTACGTGTGTGTGTAGTGTGTTATGAAGGGGATGATGTGGTTATTTACTGTGTGTGTGTGTAGTGTGTTATGGATGGGGATGATGGTGGTTATTTACTGTGGTGTGTGTAGTGGTTTATGGAAGGATGATGTGGTTATTTACTGTGTGTGTTGTTAGTGGTGTTATGGAGGATGATGTGGTTATTTACTGTGTGTGTGTAGTGTGTTATGGAAGGATGATGTGTTATTTACTGTGTGTGTGTGTAGTGTGTTATGAAGGATGATGTGGTTATTTACTGTGTGTGTGTAGTGTGTTAGGAAGGATTGATGTGGTTATTTACTGTGTGTGTAGTGTGTTATGGAAGGATGATGTGGTTATTTACTGTGTGTGTGTAGTGTGTTATGGAAGGATGATGTGGTTATTTACTGTGTGTGTGTGTAGTGTGTTATGGAAGGATGATGTGGTTATTTACTGTGTGTGTGTAGTGTGTTATGGAAGGATGATGTGGTTATTTACTGTGTGTGTGTAGTGTGTTATGGAAGGATGATGTGGTTATTTACTGTGTGTGTGTAGTGTGTTATGGAAGGATGATGTGTGTGTTAATTCACTGTTCTCTCTGATCCTTCCAGGTCCTCTTCCAAATGACTACCTCACGCCTAAAGACTGTTTCACTGCAGCCACAGTCCTGAACAACAGCCAGTCATGACATCAAGCATAGGGTAGGTTATAACACACACACATCCCTACTTTAATACGCATTCAGAAATACTTGCCATTACTCCCACCCACTGACAACAGATACACTCAGAAAGATCTCTCTCTGTCTAAATCTATAACGAAAGAAGAAAGAGATATATCTATGGATATCGAGAGAGAGCATCCTCTCTCTCTCTCTCTCGCTAATCTATTCTGTCTCTTGACATCTGTTCGTTCTCTTCTCTCTTTTCTCTATCTCTTCTCTTCTCTCTCCTGTATTCTCTCTTCTCTCTTCTGTATCTCTGTCTCTTTCTCTCTCTATCTTTGTCTCTTGTCTATTGTCTTCTCTTGTGGTGTGTGTGTCTCTTCTCTGTGGTTCTCTCTCTTCTTGGGTGTGGTCTCTCTCTCTCTTGTGTGTCTCTCTCTCTCTATCTTGTGTCTCTCTGTGTGTCTCTTCTCTCTTTTTCTCCCCTCCTCTCCTCTGTTGTTCTTTCTCTCTCTCTCTAGGTTCTCTTCTCTCTCTTCTCTCTGTTCTCTCTCTCTTTATCTGGTAAACTCTCTTCTCTATCTGTCTCTTCTCTCTCTTCTCTCGTGTCTCTTCTAATTCAATTTCTTTATCATGTGAAACCATCTCATTCCAAGTCAAAGGAATAATAAAAAATATTCTCATCTCTCTCTGTATTTCAAAGTTAAGGGATTTATTGTCATATTATGTACTATTACATTTGAAACAATGTGCAAATAGTAATAAAAAGGGATTAAAGTAAACATACACTCAGGGTTGAATACAAGTCTTTTGTCACATGGGTTTCCTTTTATGTCAAGGTACACTAGTGTGGTGCACACATGTGGTTTTCACATATAGTTAGTCAAAAGTGGATTGTTTTGAATTCTTTATTGGTAAGATAAATATGTGTTGTATTTCAGAGTTGTGTGTGTCTTCACTGTGTCCCTCTTTTTGTGGCCAGGTCATAGCATATTGTGTCTGTGGAGCCAGGCACTTCGGGGATTCTCAAGTAGCATCGATGGATTGGTTTGGTCAGGAATGGTCTTTGGGATCGTTTTCTCTGGTGGTAGAATTTAGTTTCTATGATTTTGTAATTACTTGCCAATGTGTCTAGAATTTGCTGTTTTAGTTTACCATGATTTGGTGGGTCGAATGCAAGCCTGGGGTCTTTGGTCTGTTGTGGCTGTGACAGCCCCAGGACCACTACGGGCGGACTTCTCAAAGTTTAGTAGGCATGCCTTTGAGTTCTGGGATCGTTCACAGTGTGTGGTAAGTTCTTTGCTCTGGATCTTTGTTTAGAGGGGTCTAGGCAATTCTGTCTAGCATGATTATTTGTTTTGTTGTCCGGAAGGATTTTTGCAAGAATTATTTTGCTGAGTTCTCAGATTTGGTTGGGTCTGTTTGAGTCCTGGTGCTCTGTGGGTTGGTGGCGTGAACAGACCTCAGACAAAAGGCAATGGTTCTATAGGGTGACTCTCCAGGTTTTAGCATCTCTTGAAGTGATTGCCTAGATCGTTAACAGTTTGTGGAATACGTGGTGTGGTGGCGAGGATTCGTTTTTTGTGGTTTGGGCAACCCGTCTAGATGGTATTGCAATTCTGCCTGGCAACGCATTTTTGGAAAACCCATAAAATTTTTGGGCTTACTGAGATGTTACTTGCAGCCATCTGAAATTGCGAGGAAGATTATGGGTTGCTGTGGCTCTTGGTTGGTGAGCAGAGCACAAGATCATGAGCAAACCATAGGAATGGGTTGTAATGATTTAGTAGGGGGAATGATGTCTGCAGATGTTCAGCGAATTTGTGGAATATTGTGCGAGGTGGGCTAAGGGTATCGTCTTTTCTCTAGGCAACGCTGTAAGATGAATTGTATTGTGGGCTGGAAAACTGGATTTTTTGAACCATTATTTGTATACGAGAACCTCAGCCCAAAGTTGACAAATTTGCAAATTGTTTGTTCCTTTGGTTGGTGAAGAACAGTTTTGGACGGGAATTTGTTAATCAAGTTGAAGATTTGTTTCTATACAAAAAAAATTTTTGTTTCCCCTAGAGGGCAATGTACTTTTGAGTCTGCTGGGGTTAATGATGTAAATAGGCAAGGAGTGGGATTATTTGCCCCCCAAGGGTTGTATGTCTTGCTCTGAAGCCGGCATCTCAACAGTGTTATTTTTAAAGCAAAAAAAAAAGGAATTCCCGCTCCCCCAAGTTCAATTGATTAAGATTAAAATGAGAATAGTGTAGTTTGTGTAAAATAGAGAAAAAATTATACTGGTACTAATTTCTTGCCTCCAATTACTATCTCCAACAAAAATTTACTTATAAGTCAGAACCCACCCAATTTTAATTGCCAAGGCAAAACTTTTGAAACAACAAGCAGAGAAGACTTTCCTTTGGTTGTTTGTTTGTCAATAAGTGTGCAGGGTGAATAATTTCTCGTACGTAATTTGGAAAAAAAAAGCCAACTATTGCCAATTTGACTCGACATTGCACTGAGGAAAGTACGAGTCTGCATGTTAATGATAATCAGAGGATTACCCAAAGGTGCTGTGACCATACCACAGTATTTATAGGGGTCAAATTGGCTCCACTTTTGGAGTGACAGCCATGTCAAAAATAGAAAATCCAAACAAAGAAAAAGTAGGTATACAAGGAATTGTGTCAATATTTTATCATCATGGGATACATCAAACACCACAGGCACTTATGAGATTGATATGCCTGATCATCAAATTGCAAAAACCAGCAAAAAAGATGAACTAAATGGATATAAAAGCTGTAGATTGTTATAGGCAAAAAAGATAGAAAAAAAACTACAAAAATCCACATCAAACCATTAAAATACACAAAACATATAATAAAAAAAGAGACCCAAAAATATAAAAGAAAATCACAAATAATTAAAAAATAAAACAACCCCCCCCCAACATATCCCATAAAATTGTATAAACATGTAACTACATCCACCACCTTCTATATGTTCTCTCTTCTCTCTCAATGATCTTCCAATCTTCGTGCTTATAGATATAGAATATTATACAAAGTACATTTCATTACTATGACCTCCATAACAAGTCTATCCTCTACCATGTTCCTCCATTCACAACTGCCATCGACTACCATGACCTCAACAACAACTACATCACACCATGACCTATATCACAACTACCATCACTACCATGACCTCCATATCACAACTACCATCACTACCATGACCTCCATATCACAACTACCATCACCACCATGACCTCCATATCACAACTACCATCACTACCATGACCTCCATATCACAACTACCATCACCACCATGACCTCCATATCACAACTACCATCACTACCATGACCTCATATCACAACTACCATCACCACCATGACCTCATATAACAACTACCATCACTACCATGACCTCCATATCACAACTACCATCACTACCATGACCTCATATCACAACTACCATCACCACCATTACCTCATATAACAACTACCATCACTACCATGACCTCCATATCACAACTACCATCACTACCATGACCTCCATATCACAACTACCATCACCACCATTACCTCATATCACAACTACCATCACTACCATGACCTCATCACAACAACCATCACTACCATGACCTCCATATCACAACTACCATCACTACCATGACCTCCATATCACAACTACCATCACTACCATGACCTCCATATCACAACTACCATCACACATGACCTCCAATCACAACTACCATCACTACCATGACCTCATATCACAACCCCATCACTACCATGACCTCCATATCACAACTACCATCACTACCATGACCTCCATATCACAACTACCATCACTACCATGACCTCCATATCACAACTACCATCACCACCATGACCTCCATATCACAACTACCATCACTACCATGACCTCCATATCACAACTACCATCACTACCATGACCTCCATATCACAACTACCATCACCACCATGACCTCCATATCACAACTACCATCACTACCATGACCTCATATCACAACTACCATCACCACCATGACCTCATATAACAACTACCATCACTACCATGACCTCCATATCACAACTACCATCACCACCATGACCTCCATATCACAACTACCATCACTACCATGACCTCCATATCACAACTACCATCACTACCATGACCTCATATAACAACTACCATCACTACCATGACCTCCATATCACAACTACCATCACTACCATGACCCCCATATCACAACTACCATCACACATGACCCATACAACCCATCACTACAGACCTCATATCAAACTACCATCACTACCATGACCTCCATATCACAACTACCATCACCACCATGACCTATATAACAACTAACAATCACTAACCATACCTCATATAACCCAACTACAACAACTACCATGACCTCATATACAACTACCATCACTACCATACACCTCACATATTCACATACACTATCACTACCATTAGTGACCTCCATATCACAAACTACAAATCACTACCATGACCTCATCACAACTACCATCACTACCATGACCTCCATATCACAACTACCATCACTACCATGACCTCCATATCACAACTACCATCACTACCATGACCTCATATCACAACTAACAAACAGCTGATTCACATACCAACTAATCACTAAGGCCCTGATTAGCTGAAACAGGACTAACAGGCAGCTGATTCACATAGCCAACTAATCACTAAGGCCCTGATTAGCTGAAACAGGACTAACAGGCAGCTGATTCACATAACCAACTAATCACTAAGGCCCTGATTAGCTGAAACAGGACTAACAGGCAGCTGATTCACATAACCAACTAATCACTAAGGCCCTGATTAGCTGAAACAGGACTAACACGCAGCTGATTCACATAACCAACTAATCACTAAGGCCCTGATTAGCTGAAACAGGATAACCACAGCTGATTCACATAGCCAACTAATCACTAAGGCCCTGATTAGCTGAAACAGGACTAACAGGCAGCTGATTCACATAGCCAACTAATCACTAAGGCCCTGATTAGCTGAAACAGGACTAACAGGAAGCTGATTCACATAGCCAACTAATCACTAAGGCCCTGATTAGCTGAAACAGGACTAACACGCAGCTGATTCACATAGCCAACTAATCACTAAGGCCCTGATTAGCTGAAACAGGTGAGACACGTTGCCATTCAGTGAGACTGTAGATTGAAAGGGCTTTTTAAAGTATATTCCATTGTAATCTAATCTGTAATCTATTGTAATCCACAGCGTGTCCCGTAACAAATCAGAGAAGAAGAGACGAGACCAGTTCAACGTCCTGATCAAGGAGCTGGGGACCATGTTGCCTGGCGTCACACGCAAGATGGACAAGTCCACCATCCTGCAGAAGAGCATCGACTTCCTGTGTAAACACAACGGTACCCACCCCCTTTACCACCACTTTCTGTTTCTACTTCCTGTTGTTGTGATGAATGTAAACAAACAGAACTGTTGCTTGTGAGAGTCATGGACATATAATTGAAATGTAAATTATTCTTAAGTAATGTCATGACTACATGCATTATTGAGGAATCTGCATTGAAGATATGAGGAGCAAATAGTGATATGCTCTTATCAGGATCAGAAGTTGACTGTATTGTATAAATGGTGTATTCGGATGTATATTTCTAAACACTATAATGTGTATGTGTCTCTAACAGAGATCGCTGCTCAGTCTGAGTCCAGTGAGATCAGACAGGACTGGAAACCTCCGTTCCTTAGCAACGAGGAGTTCACCCAGCTCATGCTGAGGTGAGATACACAACATTACCCTACTAATACTACTACTACGTACTACCCACGACTAACTACTACGACTACTATACAACTACTGACACGTACTACACCTACGAGACGAAACTACGATACGACACCACATACTACAACACAAAACTAATACAACTACACACACACACACTAACGACACAACTACGACAGTACACCATACTACAACACTACAAAGACTACCTACTATACTAAGACGACTACGACTACTACTATACAATACGACTACAGTACACCTACTACAATACTACTACGTACTACCTACTATGTACACATACAGCTACCACTATACAACACACACATACAGTACTACCCTACTATTACTAATACTACAGTACTACCCTACTATTACTAATACTACTACAGTACTACTCTACTATTACTAATAATACTACATTACTCTACTATACTACTACTACTACAGTACTACTACAGTACTACCCTGACTATTACTAATACTACTACAGTACTACTACTACTATTACTACTACTACTACTATTACTACAGTACTAACCTACTATTACTAATACTACTATAGTATTACCCTACTATTACTACTACTACCACAGTACCACCCTACTATTTATAATACTAATACAGTTACCCCCCCCCCCCCCTACTATTACTACTACTCCAGTATTTGCGTACTATTACTACTACTACTACTACTACAGAGATGGGAGCTTTCCAGCATTAACAGTTGGAGCAGAGTTGACAGGCATAGGGTATACATGATCATCATTCCAACAGAGAACAGTTCATCTCCCCCTAGGTTTTCTTTGTTTTGCAGATCATATTCTTGCTATCACCATACTGCTACTTTGATAGCGTTCTACTACCACCGTATTGAATGAGTGATCGGTTACAATCACATGATCTAAACAACTGTGTTTTGTTGCAGGCTCTGGATGGGTTCTTCACACTAATAATGACAGCCTGGTTACAGTCATATTAACTCAAGTGTAATGTTGTGTTTTGTTGCAGGCTCTGGATGGGTTCTTCATAGCAATAATGACAGACGGGAACATCATCTATGTCTCTGAGAGTGTTACCTCCTTACTGGAACACCTGCCGGTGAGTAGGACTGTCTGTGTGTACGGGGGGGTGTGTTTCGATTAGTAGGACGATTACTATTGGATATAGGGAGAGAAGCATTTATTTACAATTGGTTGAGACGATGCATAGTACCAATAGCAGCTTAGAGCTGAATTACCTGATACCAATTGACTAATTCCAATTCGTTTCTTATTCGTTTCCTAGTTAAAATGTTTGAAAGTGTTCAATTAAATGTGTCTATACCTTCCTCAGTCGTGTTGAGTTCAACATGTTGTGTGTGGGTGTTCCCCAGTCGGACCTGCAGGACCAGAACCTGTTAAACTTCCTCCCTCTGAACGAACACTCTGAGGTGTACAAGGCCCTCTCCACACACCCCTCCGACTCCGAGAGCCTTGGACCAGAGTACCTCAAGAGTGAGTTACACCCAGTCACATGCCACCTTACTGGCTGCTGGCCTATCGGATCGCTCCTTATACACTGCTGTCCAATCAGATCACTTGTTTACACTGCTGTCGAAGTAGACGAGCGATAATCTTCTTTGTACTGCACAATGCTGCAGTGCTGTGTAAATATATATATATCCCATGTTGTATTTGTAAAAGTCTATAAACACTCCAATGTTTTTTTTGTTGAAATTATTGCACTGTAGTTAAGGGTGGTGTTCGTTGTATTTGATATTTTAATCGTGATTGTTTTTATTTTATTTTAGCCAAGAACCAGCTGGAGTTTTGTTGCCATGTGTTGAGAGGAACCATCGACCCTAAAGAACCTCCCGTCTACGAACACGTCAAATTCATCGGCAACTTCAAGTCGCTGAACGACGGTGAGCGTCTGTTTGCATTAGAGAAGAAAACTGGTCTTGTTTTACCAGTCGTAGATCAAAAGAAACAACTGTTAGTTAGATCATCTGTTCTGACCTCTAGTCATGGTAACGCCTTCTCCTCTCCTCTCCTCTCCTCTCTCTCCTCTCCTCTCCTCTCCTCTCCTCTCCTCTCCTCTCCTCTCCTCTCCTCTCCTCTCCTCTCCTCCTCTCCTCTCCTCTCCTCTCCTCTCCTCTCCTCTCCTCTCCTCTCCTCTCCTCTCCTCAGTCCCCAACACCACCAGGAATGGTTTAGCAGGAGTGTTACAGAGATCCCTACAACCCCTAACTCTCCTCTCCTCTCTCTAGTCCCCAACACCACCCAGGAATGGTTTAGCAGGAGTGTTACAGAGATCCCTACACCCCTAACTCTCCTCTCCTCTCTCTAGTCCCAACACCACCAGGATGGTTTAGCAGAGTGTTACAGAGATCCCTACAACCCCTAACTCTCCTCTCCTCTCTCTAGTCCCCAACACCACCAGGAATGGTTTAGCAGGAGTTGTTACAGAGATCCCTACAACCCCAACTCTCCTCTCCTCTCTCTAGTCCCCAACACCACCAGGAATGGTTTAGCAGGAGTGTTACAGAGATCCCTACACCCCCTAACTCTCCTCTCCTCTCTCTAGTCCCCAACACCACCAGGAATGGTTTAGCAGGAGTGTTACAGAGATCCCTACAACCCCTAACTCTCCTCTCCTCTCTCTCTAGTCCCCAACACCACCAGGAATGGTTTAGCAGGAGTGTTACAGAGATCCCTACAACCCCTAACTCTCCTCTCCTCTCTCTAGTCCCCAACACCACCAGGAATGGTTTAGCAGGAGTGTTACAGAGATCCCTACAACCCCTAACTCTCCTCTCCTCTCTCTAGTCCCCAACACCACCAGGAATGGTTTAGCAGGAGTGTTACAGAGATCCCTACAACCCCTAACTCTCCTCTCCTCTCCTCTCTCTAGTCCCCAACACCACCAGGAATGGTTTAGCAGGAGTGTTACAGAGATCCCTACAACCCCTAACTCTCCTCTCCTCTCTCTAGTCCCCAACACCACCAGGAATGGTTTTAGCAGGAGTGGTTACAGAGATCCCTACAACCCCTAACTCTCCTCTCCTCTCCTCTCTCTAGTCCCCAAACACCACCAGGAATGGTTTAGCAGGAGTGTTACAGAGATCCCTACCACCCCTAACTCTCCTCTCCTCTCTCTAGTCCCCAAACACCACCAGGAATGGTTAGCAGGAGTTTACAGAGATCCCTACACCCCTAACTCTCCTCTCCTCTCTCTAGTCCCCAACACCACCAGGAATGGTTTAGCAGGAGTGTTACAGAGATCCCTACAACCCCTAACTTTCCTCTCCTCTCTCTAGTCCCCAACACACCAGATGGTTTAGCAGGAGTGTTACAGAGATCCCTACAACCCCTAACTCTCCTCTCCCTCTCTCTAGTCCCCACAACCACCAGGGGGGGGGGGGGGGGGGAATGGGTTTAGCAGGAGTGTTCCAGAGATCCCTACAACCCCTAACTCTCCTCTCCTCTCTCTAGTCCCCAAACACCAACCGGAATGGTTTAGCAGGAGTGTTACAGAGATCCCGACAACCCCCTAACTCTCGCTCTCCTCTCTCTAGTCCCCAACACCACCCAGGAATGGTTTTATGCAGGAGTGTTACAAGGATCCCTACAACCCCTAACTCATCCTCTCCTTCCGCTCTCTAGTCCCCAACATCCACCAGGAATGGTTTTAGCAGGTAGTGTGGAACAGAGATCCCTACCAACACCTAACTCTCTCTCTTCCTCTCTCTAGTTCCCCGAACACCACCAGGAATGGTTTAGCAATGGAGTGTGAACAGAGATCCCTACAACCCCTAACTCCCCTCTCCCCTCTCGAGTCCCCAACACCACCAGGTAATGGTTTTAGCAGGAGTTGTTATCAGAGATCCCTACAACCCCTAACGCTCCTCTCCTTCTCCTCTAGTCCCCCAACACCACCAGGAATGTTTAGCAGGAGTTGTTACAGAGATCCCTAACAACCCCTAACTCTCCTCTCCTCTCTCTAGTCCCCAACACCACCAGGAATGGTTTAGCAGGAGTGTTACAGAGATCCCTAAAACCCCATAACTCTCCTCTCCTCTCTCTAGTCCCCAACACCACCAGGAATGGTTTAGCAGGAGTGTTACAGAGATCCCTACAACCCCTAAACTCTCCTCTCCTCTTCTAGTCCCCAACACCACCAGGAATGGTTTAGCAGGAGTGTTACAGAGATCCCTACAACCCCTAACTCTCCTCTCCTCTCTCTAGTCCCCAACACCACCAGGAATGGTTTAGCAGGAGTGTTAGAGAGATCCCTACAACCCCTAACTCTCCTCTCCTCTCTCTAGTCCCCAACACCACCAGGAATGGTTTAGCAGGAGTGTTCAGAGAGACCCTACAAACCCCTAACTCTCTCCCTCTCTCTAGTCCCCAACACCACCAGGAATGGTTTAGCAGGAGTGTTACAGAGATCCCTACACCCCTAACTCTCCTCTCCTCTCTCTAGTCCCCAACACCACCAGGAATGGTTTAGCAGGAAGTGTTACAGAGATCCCTACAACCCCTAACTCCCTCTCCTCTCTCTAGTCCCAACACCACCAGGAATGGTTTAGCAGGAGTGTTACAGAGATCCTTACAACCCTAACTCTCCCACTCTCTCAGTCCCCAACACCACCACAATGTTAGCAGATGTACACAGACCCCACAACCCCCTAAACCACCTCTCCCTCTCTCTAGTCCCCAACACCACCAGGAATGGTTTAGCAGCAGTTCCACACACCCTACAACCCATAGCTTCGCTCTTCTCTTCATGTCCAACTACCACCATGGAATGGTTATGCAGGATGGGTTACAGAGATCCTCTACAACCCAAACTAACCTCTCCTCCTCTGAGGTCCCCAACACCGACCGAATGGTTAGCAGGGTGTTACAGAGATCCTACAACTCCATAACTCTACTCCATCTCTCTAGTCCCCACACCACCGGAATGTTTAGTCAGAGTTTACAGATGCCCACAACACTGCTTTGTGACCTGGTCTGCTTCGTAAGTCCACCGTAGGCTGGCTAACACAGTCATCAATTGTAGACGCAAAACCAGAACACACACCACCCACACACATCACACACACACCACACACACCACACACACCACACACACCACACACACAGAAACACACACACACACCAACACCCACACACAACACCACACACCACACACACACACCACACACACACCACACACACACACACACAATTAGTGCTTCTTGAGTTCAGTTCAGTTTCGATTCGATTAATGAAAAATTATTTTTAGACATTAAATGCACAATGCATTATGTGGGTTGAATGCTGTAACAACACAGAATAAAACAATCAATACAAGTCCCATGACGGTAGTGACTGTCCATTACTGCTTATCACTTATTAACCATCATTTAGTCACTTTACTTTAATAAAAAATATTTAAGTTCTGTATATTCCATTAGTTTTATTTGATGACTTTATTATTTCATGCCAAGTCATCATCTCATCTCTATAGAGCTGCTGTCTGACTAAATCACTATTTTAGTAGTTCTTCAAAGTAAATAAGGCAGACTTATATGACTGCTGAATACCAGCTATCAATCACTTAGATCATGTATTTCCAGGTAGAGGAACCTCACGAAGCAACTGCTCTCTATCCCTCTTGATCACACGTTCTTCTCTCTCCGTCTCTGGACAAGTAGGCCCCGCAATGGATTATGGTCAATGTAGTTATTTACCAAGTTTTCTGCACTAAACTATGTAGAATATTGGCCTATTGAAAACTACAACTCCTTACTACAGTGCACAGTTTGGGCTTGATCTGATTTACATTTGGAAAGTATTCAGACCCCTTGACTTTTTCCACATTTTGTTACGTTACAGCCTTATTCTAAAATTGATTAAATTGTTTTTTCACCTCATCAATCTATACACAATACCCTATAATGACAAAGCAAAAACAGGTTTCTAGAAATTTTAGCAAACCTATCAACAAAAGACCCCCCGGAAATATCACATTTACATAAGTATTCAGACCCTTTACTCAGCGATTACAGCCTTGCGTCTTCTTGGGTATGACGCTACAAGCTTGGCACACCTGTATTTGGGGAGTTTCTCCCATTTTCTCTGCAGATCCTCTCAAGCTCTGTCAGGTTGGATGGGGAGTGTCGCTGCACAGCTATTTTCAGGTCTCTCCAGAGATGTTCGATCGGGTTCAAGTCCGGGCTCTGACTGGGCCACTCAAGGACATTCAGAGACTTGTCCAGAAGCCACTCCTGCGTTGTCTTGGCTGTGTGCTTAGGGTTGTTGTCCTGTTGGAAGGTGAACCTTCCCCCCAGTCTGAGGTCCTGAGTGCTCTGGAACAGGTTTTCATCAAGGATCTCTCTGTACTTTGCTCCATTCATCTTTCCCTCGATCCTGACATGCTTCACTGTAGGGATGGTGCCAGATTTCCTCCAGAGGTGACGCTTGGCATTCAGGCCAAAGAGTTCAATCTTAGTTTCATCAGACCAGAGAATCTTGTTTCTCATGATCAGAGTCATTTAGGTGCCTTTTGGCAAACTCCAAGCAGGCTGTCCTGTGCCTTTTACTGAGGAGTGGCTTCCATCTGGCCACTCTACCATAAAGGCCTAATTGGTGGAGTGCTGCAGAGATGGTTGTCCTTCTGGAAGGTTCTCCCATCTCCACAGAGGAACTCTAGAGCTCTGTCAGAGTGACCATCGGGTTCCTTGGTCACCTCCCTGACCAAGGCCCTTCTCCCCCGATTGCTCAGTTTGGCCGGGCGGCCAGCTCTAGGAAGAGTCTTGGTGGTTCCAAACTTCTTCCATTTAAGAATGATGGAGGCCACTGTGTTCTTGGGGACCTTCAATGCTGCAGAAATGTTTTGGTACCCTTCCCCAGACCTGTGCCTCGACACAATCCTGTCTCGGAGCTCTACGGACAATTTCTTTGACCTCATGGCTAGGTTTCTGCTCTGACATGCACTGTCAACTGTGGGACCTTATATAGACAGGTGTGTGCCTTTCCAAATCATGTCCAATAAATTGAATTTACCACAGGTGGACTCCAATGAAGTTGTAGAAACATCTCAAGGATGATCAATGGAAACAGGATGCACCTGAGCTCAATTTCGAGTCTCATAGCAAAGGGTCTGAATACTGATGTAAATAAGGTGTATATATATACATATAAGTTATCAAAAATGTCAAAAAACCTGTTTTCTCTTTGTCGTTATGTATTGTGTGTAGATTGATGAGGGAAAAAAATAATTTTATCAATTTTAGAATAAGGCTGTAACGTCACAAAATGTGGAAAAAGTCAAGAGGTCTGAATAATTTCTGAATGAACAGTATCTCGAGGGAAACTACGCATTGAGCTCACAGAAAAAAAATTGAATGAAATGGAATTCAAATAATTGAACCAACGTCGGTCAATTACACTACCGTTCAAAAGTTTGGGGTCACTTAGAAATTTCCTTGTTTTCCATGAAAACATACATGAAATGAGTTTGAATAAGAAATATAGCAAAATGCATAGGAAATGTAGTCATTGACAAGGTTAGAAATAATGATTTTTAATATAAATAATAATTGTGTCCTTCAAACTTTGATTTTGTCAAAGAATCCTCAATTTGCAGCAATTACAGCCTTGCAGACCTTTTGGCATTCTAGTTGTCAATTTGTTGAGGTAATCTGAAGAGATTTTGCCCCATGCTTCCTGAAGCACCTCCCACAAGTTGGATTGGCTTGATGGGCACTTCTTACGGTCAAGCTGCTCCCACAACAGCTCAATAGGATTGATATCCGGTGACTGTGCTGGCCACTCCATTATAGACAGAATACCAGCTGACTGCTTCTTCCCTAAATAGTTATTGCGGTGCTTTGGGTAATTGTCCTGTTGTAGGAGGAAATTGGCTCCGATCAAGCGCCGTCCACAGGGTATAGCATGGTGTTGCAAAATGGAGTGATAGCCTTCCTTCTTCAAGATCCCTTTTAACCTGTACAAATCTCCCACTTTACCACCACCAAAGCACCCCCAGACCATCACATTGCCTCCACCATGCTTGACAGATGGCATCAAGCACTCCTCCAGCATCTTTTCATTTGGTCTGCGTCTCACAAATGTTCTTCTTTGTGATCCGAACACCTCAAACTTCGATTTGTCTGTCCATAACACTTTTTTCCAATCTTCCTCTGTCCAGTGTCTGTGTTCTTTTGCCCATCTTAATCTTTTCTTTTTATTGGCCAGCCTGAGATATGGCTTTTTCTTTGCAACTCTGCCTAGAAGGTCAGCATCACGGAGTCGCCTCTTCACTGTTGACGTTGAGACTGGTGTTTTGCGGGTACTATTTAATGAAGCTGCCAGTTGAGGACCTGTGAGGCGCCTGTTTCTCAAACTAGACACTCTAATGTATTTGTCCTCTTGCTCAGTTGGGCACCGGGGCCTCCCACTCCTCTTTCTATTCTGGTTAGAGCCAGTTTGCGCTGTTCTGTGAAGGGAGTAGTACACAGCGTTGTACGAGATCTTCCGTTTATTGGCAATTTCTCGCATGGAATAGCCTTAATTTCTCAGAACAAGAATAGACTGACGAGTTTCAGAAGAAAGTTATTTGTTTCTGGCCATTTTGATTCTGTAATCGAACCCACAATTGCTGATGCTCCAGATACTCAACTAGTCTCAAGAAGGCCAGTTTTATTGCTTCTTTAATCAGCACAACAGTCTTCAGCTGTGCTAACATAATTGCAAAAGGGTTTTCTAATGATCAATTAGCCTTTTAAAATGATAAACCTGGATTAGCACAAACACAACGTGCCATTGGAACACAGGACTGATGGTTGCTGATAATGGGCCTCTGTACGCCTGTGTAGATATGCCATAAAAAATCAGCCGTTTCCAGCTACAATAGCCTATTTACAACATTAACAATGTCTACACTGTATTTCTGATCAATTTGATGTTATTTTAATGGACACATTTTTTTCTAAGTGGCCCCAAACTTTTGAACGGTAGTTTAGTTGTTTAAATGACCCAAACTTACAAACATTTTGGTTAATCGCTCAGCACTGAACACACACACAGACACACACACACACACACACACACACACACACACACACACACACACACACACACACACACACTCAATGGAGTAACAAGAAATCAGAAAATAAATAAGTAGAAAATTGACGGTAAATCCTATTTAACCTACAGTATGAAACACAACAAAGCTACACTGTCTATTTCACCTGCATATTTTGCACTCACCGGACAGTTTATTAAGTACACCACCCCGTTCAAGAAAATGGATCTCTCTTACAGACAGTGAGCCACGTGGCCGTGGCTTGCTATTTAAACCAGGCAGACAGGCATCAAGGCATTCAGTTACTGTTCCATTGAACGTTGGAACGGGCAAAACGAGTGACCTAAGCGACTTTGAGGTATGATCGTCGGTGCCAGGCGCGCCGGATCCAGTATCCCAGAAACGGCCACCCACCTGGGCTTTTCACGCACGACGGTGTCTAGGGTTTACCGAGAATGGTGCGACAAACATCCAGTCTGCGGCAGTCCTGTTGGCGAAAATAACTAGTTGAAGGAGAATGGTAGAATTCTGCTAACAGGCGGCCCACAAACAGACAGATAACGGAGCAGTACAACAGTGCTGTGCAGAACGGCATCTCGGAACGCACAACTCATCAGTCCTTGTCACGGATGGGCTATTGCAGCAGACGACCACACCGGGTTCCACTCCTATCAGCTAAAAACAAGAAGAAGCGGCTCCAGTGGGCACGCCATCACCAACACTGGACAACTGAGGAGTGGAAAAACATCGCCTGGAACACAGTAGCGATTTCATTTTACTTTAGTGGCCTGCGCAGTCTCCAGACCTCAACCCAATACAGCATCTTTGGGATGAAGTGGAACGGGCTGTTCGCAGCAGGAATGTACCGCCGTCCAATCTGCAGCAACTGCGTGATGCCATCGCGTCAGCATGGACCAACATCCCTGTGGAACGTTTCCGACACCTTGTAGAATCAATTCCCCGAAGAATTCAGGCTGTTCTGTAGGCAAAGGGGGGGTCAGACCCGGTACTAGATGGGTGTACCTAATAAACTGGCCACTGATAGTATATATTGTCTATCTATATTAAATGATCTATATTCTATGCAATATATATTGATATCTATCTTGTTGTCTATCCCTCCATAGGAGATGTGTACAGTGGCAGAGCCCAATGAAGAGTTCACCTCCCGACACAGCCTAGAGTGGAAGTTCTTATTCCTAGACCACAGGTAACACAGTCTGTAATAGAAGTTCTTGTTGCTAGACCACAGGTAACACAGTCTGTAATAGAAGTTCTTGTTGCTAGACCACAGGTAACACAGTCTGTAATAGAAGTTCTTGTTGCTAGACCACAGGTAACACAGTCTGTAATAGAAGTTCTTGTTGCTAGACCACAGGTAACACAGTCTTAGACCACAGGTAACACAGTCTGTAGTAGAAGTTCTTGTTGTCTGAGCCACAGATAACCCCAGTCGTAGTTAAATAGAAGTTCGTTGTTGCTAGACCACAGGTAACACCAAGTCCTATAGTAAGAAGTTTCTTGTTGCTAGACACCGGTAACACAGTCTGTAATAGAATTTCTTGTTGGCTAGTACCACAGATAACCAGTCTGTAATAGAAGTTCTTGTTGCTAGACCACAGTAACACAGTCTATAGTATAAGGTCTTGTCTAATCCACAGATAACACAGTCTGTAGTAGAAGTTCTTGTTGCTAGACCACAGATAACACAGTCTGTAATAGAAGTTCTTGTTGCTAGACCACAGGTAACACAGTCTGTAATAGAAGTTCTTGTTGCTAGACCACAGGTAACACAGTCTGTAGTAGAAGTTCTTGTTGCTAGACCACAGGATAACAACAGTCTGTAGTAGAAGTTCTTGTGCTAGAACCACAGGTAACACGTCGTATAGAAGTTTTTTTAGCCCACAGGAAACACCGTAAAGAAGTTCTTTTGCTAGACCACGGTAACACAGTCTGAGTAAATTCTTTTTGGGAAAACACAGGTAAAAACGGGCTATAAAAGTTTTTTCCTAGCCCACAGGTAAAAAATCTATAGAAGTTTTTTCTAGCCCACGGGAAAACACGTCTAATAGAATTTCTGTTGCTAGCCCACGGGTAACACAGTCTGATAAAATTTTTTTTGTAGACCACGGTAACACAGTTGTAGAAGTTCTTTTCCTAGACCAAGGTAACACAGTCTTATAAATTTCTTTTTTCAGACCACGGAAAACACAGTCTGTAGTAAAAGTTCTTGTTCTGACCAGGGGAAACGTTGTATAAGTTTTTTTTGCTAGCCCAAAAGGTTAACACAGCTGAGTAGAAGTTCTTGTTGCTAGCCACAGGTAACACATTTAGTGAAGTTCTTGTTGCTAGCCACAGGAAAAAGTCTGAATGAAGTTCTTTCTAGACCACAGGTAACAACGTAAATAGAAGTCTTGTGCAGACCACAGGTAACACGTTGTAGTGAATTTCTGTTGCTAGACACAGGTAACACTTTTATAGACCCCAAACAGGTAACAAGTCTTATAGAGTTTTTGTTGCTAGACCCGGGAAAAACACAGTTGAAATAGAATTTCTTTTTGTGACCACGGGAACACAGTTTTAATAGAAGTTTCTGTTGAGACCACAGGTAACAAGTCTAGTAGAAGTTTTGTTCTGCCACGGGTAACACGTCTTTAGAAGTTTTTTTGCTAGACCACGGGTAAAACGTCGTATGAAGTTTTTGTTGCTAGCCCCACAGGAACCCCGTTTAGACCAAGGAAACACAGTCTTATAGAATTTTTTTGCAGACCACGGGGAACACGTCTGAAATAAAAAGTTGTTGCAAAAGACCACGGGTAACAAGTCTTGAAATAAAGTTCTTTTTGCTAGACCACGGGTAACCAGTGTAAATAGAATTCTTGGCTAGACCCGTAACACAGTCGTAAAAAGTTCTTGTTGCAGACCACAGGTAAACAGTTTTAGTGAATTCTTGTTGCTTAGAACGGGTAACCCGTCTTGAAAATTTTGTTGTAGACCAAGGTAACACGTTGTATAGAAGTTTTTTTGCTGACCACGGGTAACACGTCTTAAAAACCCACGGTACACGTCTGAAATAGAAGTTTTTTTGGGTTGCTAAAGACCAAAAAAGGAACACAGTTGTAGTAGAATTTCTTTTCAGACCAGGGGAACACGTCGGGTATAGAAGTTCTTTTTGCAAACCCAAAGTAACACGTTTAGTAGAAGTTTGTTCTAGACCAAGGTAAACCAGTTTTAACACAGGTAAACAGTCTAATAGAGTTTTGTTGTAGCCACAGGAAAACACGTCTTATAAAAGTTCTTTTTGCGCCCACAGGTAAAAAGTCAAATAGATTTCTTTTTGTAGACCCAGGTAACACAGCTTAAAGAAAGTTTTTTTGCTAGACAAGGTAAACATCGTATAAAGTTTTTGTTTAGCCCCAAGGAAAAACAGTCTGTATAAAGTTTTGTGCTAGCCCAAAAGGTAACACAGTTAATAGAAGTTTTTTTTGCTAGCCACGGAACACAGCTGTAGTAAAGTTTTTTTGCAGACCACAGGAAATTTCATTTATCAAATTAGATGGGGTTGGCCTAAAAGTAAACCCTCTTTGTCCTCTTTGACCTGCAAAACCACAAACCTGAAATACAAAACCCCAACATACCCCAACACAAACCCCCTTAGTGGTATTATGTTAATAAGCAGGCTTGGTAACTGATGATGGTATTTCCTCCCTCCAGGGCTCCACCAATCATTTTGGACCCCCTTTTTTTAGGTCTGGGGGCGTCGGGGCGACCTTCATTTTAAAGACCGGAGACATGGCCAAGGTCACAAAAACTGTGATTACCACACACACCACCCCTCTTCTGTGAGATTTGGGAAAGGGAAATTATTTTACAATTCGACCCCTTCTGTCTAGTGTGCATTTTGGGGAAAAATATGTTATACAGGTTCTGAGTCTCCCCCTTGTTAGTGAGCATTAGGGGGAAGGGGAAATTTATTTACACAGGTTCATGAGTCTCCTCTCTCCCCTTGTCTAGTGGCATTTGGGGAAAAGGGAAACATTTTTCACAGGTTTCCCGAGTTCCCCTCGTCTATGATGATTATGGGGAAAGGGAATTCATTTTACTACAGGTTCCTGATGTCTCCTCTCTGTCTAGTGATGATATGGAAAAAAAATTATTTTACTCAGGTTCCGATCTCCCCCTCGTTAGGGGCATTTGGAAAGGGATTCATTTTACACAGGTTCCTGACCCCCCTCTCTGTCTAGTGATGGGATTTTGGGGGGGAATTATTTTTACAGGTTTTTGACTCTCCTCTCTTTAGGAGCTTTTGGGGAAAGGGAATTATTTTTTCAAGGTTTTGAGTCTCCTCTCTGTCTAGTGATGCATTATGGGAAAGGGAATTCATGTTACTACAGGTTCATGACTCTCCTTCGTTGTGATGCATTATGGGGAAAAGGGGAATTTATGTTATACAGGTTCTATTCCCCCTCTTTTCTAGGTGATTATGGGAAAGGGAATTCATTTTTTTACTTCCTTCTCCCCTCGTTAGTGGGCATTTGGGAAAGGGAATTTTTTACTAAGGTTTCCCATCTCCTCTTTTAGGTGCATTATGGGGAAAGGGAATTCATTTACTAAGGTTCCGAGTCTCCTCCTCTGTTAGTGATGCATTTTGGGAAAAAGGGGTTTTTACACAGGTTCCCGACCCTCCTCGTCTAGTACATTATAAAGGGGAATTCCCCAGGGTTTAACCTCTCCCCCAGTTCATAGGGGGAAAGGGATTATTTAACGGTTAACCCCTCTCGTTTGTGCATTATGGGAAAGGAAACATGTTACTCAGGTTTGACGTTCCCCGCTGTGGGAAAAGCTTATGGGAAAGGGGAAAAAAGTTCCCAAGGGTTCTATGTTTTCCGTCAAGTGTCATTTTGGGAAAAGGGGTTATGTTTAAAAGGTTTTAATGAGGGTTCTTCCCCCTGTCGTAGATTTGGGGAAAAATTATTTATAATTCCCGGTTCTTCTCTTTTTGATTTTGGAAAAGGGAAAAATTATTTTACAAGGTTCCTGAGTTTTTGTTAGTGAGGGGTTTTGGGAAAAGGGAACATGTACTAAGGTTTTAATGTCTTTCGTCTTGTGATTTTGGGGAAAAGGGTTCTGTTCTCCGGTTTTTTTTTAGGGGGTCTTTTCCCCTTTCTGTGAAACTTTTGGGAAAGGGTTTTTTTCTCGGTTAATGACGTCTCTTCTCCCCTCTGTTTATCTTTTGGGAAAGGGTTCTGACTAAGGGGGGCCTGTTCTCCCTCGTTTACTTTGGGAAAAGGGAATTGTTTTGGTTCCTGGGTTTTTCCTCTGTTGTACTATGGGAAAGGGATTCTGTTCTCGGTTCTGGGGGTTTTTCTTTCTCTGTTGTGTATTTTGGGGAAAAGGGGTTCTTTTCTTAACAGGGGCCTTTGTCTTGTGTATTTTGGGAAAAGGGAATTCTGTTACGGCAGAGCTCCTCTTTTTTGTGATTTTGGGGGGGGGGAACATGTTTGGTTTTTCCCTCTCCCCTTCCCCTTTGGGGGTTGTGATCTTTTGGAAAGGGGTTATTTTCGTTCCCGGTTCCCCTCTGTTGTATATTGGGGAAAAGGGAATTTTTTATGTTACTAAGGTTCCTGCCTTCTCTGTCTGGAAAAATGGGGAAAAGGGAAGTCCTTTTAAAAAACAGGTTCCGCCCCTCTTTGTTATATGGAGGGAAAGGGAAGTAGTTTCGTTCCTGAAACCAAGGGAAAATTTTTGGGTCCGAAAATAATAATCCCTTCCCTGGAAATGGTGAGTCTGGGCTCCCCCCGGAAATAGGGGGGAGGTTAAAGTTTAAAAAAAATTTCTTTAAAATGTGCTTGGTTCTTCCCCCGTTTCGGGGGAAATGGGGGGTAAATTACTCTTTTTCTTTTGGACATAAATATTTTTTTTCTTTGGTAAAATTTTTTTATTTGAATGAAAAAACGAATTTCCTTTCTTTGTGGAATAGGGAAAAATTTAAAAATTTTTCGGTTTTCCCGGCCCCTCGTGGGGAACTAGGGGAGGTGACCCTTTTCCTTTTCTTGGGGGAAATATGGGGAGGTGATTGTTTGTTTTCTTTTTCCGTGTAACTATGGGGGAGGGAATTGTTTGTTCTCTGTCTTCGGTAATAGGGGAGGTGACTTTTTGTTTTGTCTCCTTGGAACTAGGGGAGGTGCTTGTTTTTTCTGTCTCTCTGTGTACTAGGGAGGGGGAATTTTCCCCCTTTTTTGTCTTTGTGTAACTATGGGGGGGGAAATTTTTCGTTTTTTTCTCTCTGGTTTCTTTGGGGGGGTGACTGTTCTGTTCTGTTTTTTGTAAACTATGGGAGGTGACTTTTTCGTTCTCTGCTCTCTTGGGAAATATGGGGAGGGATTTTTTGTTCTCTTTTCTCTGTGTAACTATGGGGAGGGACCTTTTTTTCTGTCTCTGTGAACATTTTGGGGGGTGAAATTTTTTGTTTCTGTCTTTGTTAACTAGGGGAGGGAATTTGTTTTGTCTCTTGTGTAAAATAAGGGGGGGTGCGTTCTGTTCTTGCTCCGTTAACATGGGGATGGGCTTTTTTGTTCTCGTTTCTGTGTAACATGGGGAGGTGACTGTTCGTTCCTTTCTCGGTAACTATGGGGAGGTGACTTGTTCTGTTCTCTGTCTTGTGTAACTATGGGGAGGTGACTTGTTCTGTTCTCTGTCTCTCTGTGTAACTATGGGGAGGTGACTTGTTCTGTTCTCTGTAACTATGGGGAGGTGACTTGTTCTGTTCTCTGTTCCCCTTTTGTAAATATGGGGAGGGGGGACTTTTTCTGTTTCGTCTCTTGTGTAATATGGGGAGGTGACTGTTTTTTCTCTGTTTCCCGTGTAAAGGGGAGGGGACTGTTTTTTCTCTGTTCCCCGTGTAAAAAAGGGGAGGTGATGTTGGTTTTCCCGGGCTCTCTGTGAAAATGGGGGGGGTGATGTTCGTTCTCGTCCCCTTTTTAAAGGGGAGGGAAAATTTTTGTTCTCTGTCTTTTCTGTGTAACTATGGGGGGGGAACTTGTCTGTTCTGTCTCTCTGTTTTAATATGGGGAGGGGGGCTTTTTCTGTTCTTGTCTCTTGTGAACTAGGGGAGGTGACCTGGGGCCCGTTTCTGCTCTCGGTAACATGGGAGGGACTTTTTCTGTTTCGTTCTGTGTAAAAATTTGGGGGGGTGACTTTTTTCTGTCTCTGTCTCTCTGTGTAACTATGGGGAGGTGACTTGTTCTGTTCTCTGTCTCTCTGTGTAACTATGGGGAGGTGACTTGTTCTGTTCTCGTCTTTGTGAATTGGGGAGGTGACTTTGGGTTTTCTGTCTCTCGGGGAAATATGGGGAGGGGATTGTTCGTTCTCGTCTCTCGGTAAATAGGGGGGCTTCTTGGTCCTTTTTTCTCTGTCCTTGTGTAACTATGGGAGGTGACTTGTTTTTCTCTGTCTTTGTGAACATGGGGAGGGGGCCGTTTTTTGTTTTTTTGGGAAATATGGGGAGGGACCTGTTTTGTTTTCTCGGTGTAATATGGGGGGGTGATTGTTTGTTCTTGTCTCTATGTGGGAACTAGGGGGGATTTTTTTTCTTCTCTGGTTTTGGGGGGGATTTTTGTTTCCCCTTTTGTGTAAATAGGGGGGGGGAGTTTTTCTTTTTTGTGTAAAAAATGGGGGGTGAATTTCTGTTTTCTGTGAAATATTGGGGGGGTGACTTTTTTTGGTTCTGTGTAACATGGGGGAGGTGACTGTTTTTCTGTTCTTTGTAACTATGGGGGGGGGTTTGTTTCTGTTTCGTGTTATGGGGGGGGTGAATGTTCTGTTTTGGGTTTAAATATGGGGGGGGGGGACTGTTTGTTCTCCCTTGTGTAAAATGGGGAGGTAGGCTTTTTAGGAAAGGGGAGGGATTTTGGGGGGGTTTTTGAAAAAAGAGCCCCCCCCTGGGGAAATGGGACGGTGAAATTTTGGTTTTTTGCCTTTTAAATTATGGGGTGTTTCCCCCTTTTTCCCCATTAAACTTGGGGAATTTTAATTTCCCCCCCTTTTTAACTATTTGGGGGGGGGCTTTTTCCTTTTTTCTTGGGGGGGCTTTCTCTCCCCCTTTTCTTCTCTTTCCTTTTTTCCTTTTAAAAGGGGGGGTTAATTCCCCCTCTCTTTCATTTATTTTTCTTGCTGGCTAGGAGCTATTTCCCTTTGTTATAATGAGGTAATGGGTACTTTTCCCCTTTTTTTAAAACTAAATAAACATTTTTCTGGCTAATGGAGTACTTTTTTTTTTAATATGGGGAGGGGGACTTTTCTTTTTTTTAAATATGGGGAAGTGGAAAATATTTCCTTGTTTTAACAGGGGAGGGAGTTTCTTTTAAAATTCTTGACTGGGGGGTACTTTTTTCTTTAATTAAAATATGGAGTGGTGTTTATCTTTATTTTTAACTAGGGGGTAATGGGGAGCATTTCTTTTTTAAACTAGGGGAGTGGGGAAATTTTTTTTTTTTCTGGTAATGGGGAGAATATTCTTTTTTTTACTGGAGTGGTAGTCTTTTCTTTTTTAACTAAGGAAGTGGGTTTTTTTCTTTAATATAATTTACTGGCTGTTAGCTTATATATCTTTTTTTTAACCCATGGGGAAAGGGGAGCTTTTCTTTTTTAAACTATGAGGTAAAAGTTCTTTTTTTTTTAACTATGGGGAGTGGTGCTTCTCTTTTTAAACTATGATGCTGTTGTTTCTTATTCTTTAATATTGGGAGTGGTGTAATTTTTATTTAAAATATGGGTTAAGTTCCTTTTTATTTTTAACTATGATGGTATGGGGTTTTTTTTTTTAAATTATGACTGGCTAAGGGGTTTGCTTTCCCTTTAATTAAAATTGACTGCTGTTTTTTCCCTTATTAAAATACATGCTGGCTTGTGGTTACATTTTCCTTTTTTTTTTTAACTTCTGGGCAAGTGGTTTTCTTTTTCTCTTTTAAATAAAATAGCTTTTTTTAAATTGGGGAAGATTTTCTTTTTTCTTTTGGTAATGGGTACATTCTTTTTTTAATTAAACAGAGGGGAGGGAGTTTTATTCTTTTTTAAAATATGGGAAGTGGATTTTCCTTTTAAACTATGGGAAGTGGTTTTATTTTTTTATTTTAACTATTGGGGAAGTGGATTTTTCTTTTTTAAAACTATGAGGGGTTGGGGGGTTTCCCCTTTTTAACTATAATTTTTTTTTAACTTTTGGGGAGGGTTTTCCCCTTTCCTTTAAATATAACTTTCTGGCCTAAGGGTAGTATATCTCTTTTAATATAACTTGCTGGGTAATGGAGTAATTTCTTTTTTAAAATTCTGGGGAATTGGGATACTTTTCTTTTTTTAACTATGAGGGTGGTTTTCTTTTTCTTTAATAAACTTGCTTTGGTTTGTTGGACTTTTCCCTTATTTTCTTGTGGCCCAATGGAGGTATTTATTTTTTTTAAAATATGAGGTATGGGTTGCCTTTTTCCCCTTTTAAATAAATTGTGGCTGTGGTTTCATATTCCCCTTTTTTAAATATGGGAAGGGGGTTTGCTATTATATTTTTTTTTAACTTGACTGGCTGGGTGTAATATTCTTTTATTAACTATGATGGCTGTGGTTTCTAATATTCTTATTTTAATATAAAACTTGCTGGCTAAGGGTGCTTTCCCCTTTTAATAAAACCCTTTCTGGCTAAGGGACTTAAATTTTTTTTTAATATAACTTGACTGGGTAAGTGGTTAGCAATTTCTTTTAATATAACTATGGCCCTTTGGTAAGTGGGGGAGCTTTTTATCCCTTTTAATAAACTTTCTGGCAAGTGGTACTATATATTTTTAATATAACTTGCTGCTAAAGGGTAGTCTTCCCTTTAAAATTAACTATGCTGCTTTAAGTGGTACTATAATTCTTATTTTAAATTAACTTGACGGCTTGGTGTAAAAATATCTTTATTTTTAAATATACTGGCTAATGGGGGGAATTTCTTTTTTTTTAACATGACTGGCGTGGTAGCTATTTTTTCTTTTAATATAACTTGCTGGCTAATGGAGTAAATTCTCTTTTTAATAGGGGCTGGCTATGGTACTATATAATCTTTTTCTTTGGCTAAGGGGGGACTTTTATTTATTTTAATATAACTTTGCTGGCTAGGGGGGTAGCTAAAATATCTTATTTAATATAACTATGCTGGCTAAGTGGTGCTATATATCTCTTATTAATATAACTTGACTTGGGCAAGTGGTAGCTTTCCCTTAAAATAACTTGCTGGCTAAGTGGGGTAGCTAATTTCTTTATTAATTAAAATTTTTGCAAGTGGGGGAGCTTTTCTCTTTAAATAACTTGACTGGTAAGGGGGGAGTTTTTCCCTTTTAAATCCATGCTGCTTGGGTTTAAAAAAATTTTTATAAATTTTTTTCTTTTAATATAAATTGCTGGCTAAGTGGTGCTTTATTCTTTTAAATATAACTAGAACTTTTGGCTTGGTACTATAATTTTCCCTTTTTTAATATAAACTTGCTGGCTAAGTGGGGCTTTTTTTTTTAATATAAACTAAGGGGGTGGCCGTTTGGGGAGTACATTTTTTTTATATAATAGGGGGCAAGTGAGCTAATACCCCTTATTAATAAACTTATGGAAATGGGCTTAAAAAATTTTTGGAAGGGGAGAAAATTCCCCATTATTAACATGATGGCTAAATGGGAGATAAAATTCTTTTAATATAACTTGATGGGTAATGGTGATAATTCTTTTAAATATAACATGATGGCTAAGGGGGGAGCCAAACCTTATTAATATAAAATAGACTGGCTAATGGTAGCTATTAAAATTTTTATTAATATAACATGACTGGTAAGGGTAGCTAATAACTTATTAAAATAGACTGGGTAAGTGGACTAATTTTTTATTAATTAACTATGATGGGTAAGGGGTAGTATATATTCTATTAATAAATAACGGGGTAAGTGGTAGCTATATAACTTATTTTACTAGAGGTAAAGGGTAGTAATATTCCTTTTTTAAAAAATATGACTGGCTAAGTGGTAGCAAAAATTTTTATTTAAAAACAGACTGGCTAAGTGGTTTTAAAATTTCCTTTTTAATATAACATGTGGGTAAGTGGGTTTGCTAAAATTTTATTAAATAACAGAGGTAAGTGGGCTATTAAACCCCATTTAATATAATATGATGGCTTGGTAGTATTTTCCTTATTAAAAAAAACAGGTAAGGGTAGCTAATATCCTTTTTATTAAAATATACTGGCTAAATGGTAGCTATTTCTTTTAAAACTATGACTGGCTAAGTGGGAGCTATAATTCTTTTAAAATAACTATGACTGGGTAAGTGGGAGCAAACTCTTTAAATAACTTTCGGCTAAATGGAGTATAATCCCCATTAATAATATGTGGTAAATGGGAGCAAAATCTTATTTTAAAAAACTATGAGGCTAAGGGACAATAATTTTTATTAATATAAATGACTGGTAAATGGGTAGCTAATATCCCTTTTTAAATAACTATGAGGGTAATGGAGCTATAATTTTATTAAATAACAGAGGTAAGTGGTAGTAAATCCTTTTTATATAAAATAGCTGGCAAGTGGTAGATATATCCCATTATATAACTATAGGCTAAGGGTGTAATTTTATTATTTAAATTATAAACTTGACTGGTAAGTGGTAGCTAATATTTTTTTTATATAACTATGATGGCAAGTGGTAGCTACATACTCTTTTTAATATATATGGGTAAGTGGTAGCAAAAATCTTATTTAATATAGGTAAATGGTGCTACAAATTTTTTTAAAAACTGATGCTAGTGGACATAATTTTCTTATAATATAAATGATGGCTAAGTGGGTATTATATTTATAAAAATAACTATGATGGCTAAGTGGTGCTTTATTCTATTAATAAAAATGACTGGGAATGGTAGTAAATCTTTTTAAATAACTTGAGGCTAAGTGGTAGCTAATATCTCTTATTTTAAAAAACTTTTGGCTAAGTGGTAGCACATAACTTATTTTTATAACTAGACTGCTAAGTGGGAGTATATATTTTTATTAATATAAAGGAGGCAGTGGTAGCTAATTTTTCTTATAAATAACTATGAGGCTAAGGGTAGCTATATATCTTATTAAATAACATGACTGGCTAATGGAGAATATCCCCTTTTAAATATAGACTGCAAGTGGTAGATATATTTTATTCATAAATATGACTGGTAAAATGGAGTATATATTCTTTTTTATAACTATGACCGGTAGTGGTAGCTAATAAACTTATTAATTAACATGACTGGCTAAGTGGGAGCTATATTTTTAATAAAAACTATATGGCAAAGTGGTGCTATATTCTCATTAATTAAAAGGGGGGGCTAAGTGGTGCTATATTCCCTTATTAAAATAATAGATGGCTAATGGTAGCTTATTTCCCCTTTTTAATAAAACTATGAGGCAATGGGGCTAATATCTCTTTTTAAAAAATATGACGGCTAAGTGGAGCTAAATATTTTTAAAAACATGACTGGCTAATGGAGCTTTTCTTATTAATAAACTATGAGGCTAAATTTAGCTTTTAAACTTATTAATATAACTTGATGGTAAGTGGTAGCTAATTTTCCCTTTTTAATTAACTATATGGCAATGGGAGCTTATAAAATTTATAATTAACTTTATGGCAATGGTAGCATTTATCCCTTTTTAATAACTTACTGGCAAGTGGAGCTAAATCTTTTTTAAAATAATTGATGGCTAAGTGGTAGCTTAAAAATTTATTAATATAACTTGATGGGAGGGGGTAGCTACATATTTTATTTAAAATTTAAAAGGGGCGGCTAAGTGGTGCTAATATTCCCATTAAAATAAAAATGATGGCAATGGAGCTATATATCCCTTTTTTAAAAAACTAGACTGGCTAATGGAGCAAATTTTTAAAAAAAAATAGACGGTAAGTGGTACTTAAAAATCTCTTTAATATAACTAGACTGGCAAGGGTAGCTTATCCCCTTTTAATAAACATGATGGCTAAGTGGACTATAATCCCCTTATTAATATAACTATGACGGTAAGTGGTACTAAAACCCTTATTAAATAACTAGAGGCAAGTGGTAGTTAAAATTTTTATTTAATTAAATATGATGTAAGTGGTAGCTATAATCTTTATTAATAAATTGACTGGGTAAGGGGGGTACAATTTCTTATTTATAACTTTGACTGGTAGTGGTAGCTATATTTTATTAATTAAACTTACGGCTAAGTGGTTGCTTAAATTTTTTAATATAACTAAGGGTAAGTGGGAGCAAATATCTTATTAATATAAATTGACTGGCAAGTGGTTTCTATAATTCTTATTATATAACTTGATGGCTAAGTGGTTTCTAATATTCTTTTTAAAAATATCGGGAAATGGTAGCTAATATCTCTTTTTAATATAAAAAGAGGTAAGTGGTAAATATTTTTATTAATTAATATGACGGCTAAGTGTAGTAAATATTTTTAAAATAATTGACTCTAAATGGTAGTTTTATCCTTTTAAAAAATTACTGGTAAGGAGCTAATATTTTTATTAAAAAAACTAGCTGGTAAGTGGTAGCTAAAATATCTTATTAAAATAAATTACGGGGTAAGTGGAGCTTTTATTCCCCTTTTAATATAACTAGACTGGTGTGGTAGCTTATACTTATTTAATATAACATGACGGGGAAGTGGGGCTAAATTTTATAATATAACTTGACGGTTTTGGGTTTGCCCAAATCTTAAATAAACATGATGGCTAAGTGGTAGCTTATATATTTTATATAACAGAGGCAAGTGGACTATAATTTATTATAAACTGACGGCTAAGGGGAGCTTTTTCCCCATTAAATAAATGACTGGAAATGGAGCTCATATTCTTTTAATATAAAATAGATGGCTAAGGGTAGCTATATATATTTATTAAAACAGATGGTAAGTGGTAGCTATAAAACTTATTAAATAACTAGACTGGCTAAGTGGTAGCTATATATATCTTATTAATATAACTATGACTGGCTAAGTGGTAGCTATATATATCTTATTAATATAACTATGACTGGCTAAGTGGTAGCTATATATATCTTATTAATATAACTATGACTGGCTAAGTGGTAGCTATATCCCTTAATAATATAACTATGACTGGCTAAGTGGTAGCTACATATCTAACTCCATTCTGATTCGTTCCCTCTCCTCCTCCCTCAAGCAGAGTCAAGACAGTGGATCTGAGTCTCAGCTCAACACGGTCTCCAGCCTAAAAGATGCTCTGGAGCGCTTTGATCGTAGCCGGACCCCCTCTTCCACCTCCCTATCCTCACACAAGACCTCCTCACACATCTCAGACAACACCTGTACCTGTAAGAGAACACCACACACACACACACACACACACACACACACACACACACACACACACACATCGCAGACCACTCACACGTACACACACACACACACATCGGTATCTCTGACTATAATGGGATCTCTCTGTCTCCATAGCAACAGCTTCCAAGCTCCACATGGACATGGCCACGCCCCCTCGTCAGTCACATGCTGCCTCCACCATCGAGATGACATCACAGAGACGCTCCTCCATCAGCAGCCAGGTGAGATCTGATTGGACAGAATGCAACAGGACAGAAAGTGATTAGACAGAACCAAAAAATAAGGACGTTTGTTTTGACTGGCGATTGGGCGAGTCCAACAGCTCCTATTAAATACATAATGAATGGAATCTGTTGTGGAGGAGTAGGAGATGACCAGGTCCAATTCAACCTGTGAAGAATCTAAATTGATTCGACTCTGAATCAACTGCAACTGAATCAAACTCACACTGTATCTTTATCTGTTGTCTGTGTGTGTATCTGTGTTTGTGTGTGTACGGGTGTGTTTGTGTGTGTGTGTAGTCTATGAGTTCTCAGACCACGGGACACAGTGTGGCTCCCGTCCATCCTGTGATACAACCACAACATCACCAACAACCAAAGCAACACCAACAACAACAACAACAACTACAGCCAAACGTCCAGGTGAGAAACACTATCTATCTACCCTACTCACCATCTATCCAGGGCGGCATCCCAAACGGAACTCTATTCCCTATATAGTGCACTACTTTTGACTTAGCCCTATGGGCCCTGGTCAAAAGTAGTGTACTAAATAGTGAATAGGGTGCTGTTTGGGACAGAACCCTAAAGTGTGACGATCCTACAGCCATTCAGTACTAGTATGTCAGACATCAGAACCTATTGTAGCCTGACGCTGCTCGCTGGTCGTAGAACATGGTGGCAACAATCTCTCTCTCTCTCTCTCTCTCTCTCTCTCTCTCTCTCTCTCTCTCTCTCTCTCTCTCTCTCTCTCTCTCTCTCTGTCTCTGTCTCTGTCTCTTTCTCTGTCTCTGTCTCTGTCTCTGTCTCTCTCTCTCTCTCTCTCTCTCTCTCTCTGTCTGTCTCCCTCCCTCCCCCTCCTCTCTCTCTCTCTCTCTCTCTCTCTCTCTCTCTCTCTCTCTCTCTCGCTCTCTCTCTGTTTCCCTCTCTCTCTCTCTCTCTCTTCCCCCAGCCGGTGCTAGAGTTGTCAGCCCAGGTGAATGCTATGCAGCACTTAAAGGACCAGCTAGAACAGAGAACCAGGATGATTCAGGCCAACATCCAGAGACAGCAGGATGAACTCAGAGCCATACAGGACCAACTACACAGAGTACAGCCCCCAGGCATACAGGTAGGATATATATATATATATATAGACCCTATACAGGACCAACTACACAGAGTACAGCCCCCAGGCATACAGGTAGGATATATATATAGACCCTATACAGGACCAACTACACAGAGTACAGCCCCCAGGCATACAGGTAGGATATATATATAGACCCTATACAGGACCAACTACACAGAGTACAGCCCCCAGGCATACAGGTAGGATATATATATAGACCCTATACAGGACCAACTACACAGAGTACAGC